AACATGGTCTAATGATTGGTATTCTCGTTTTAACCCCTCAATTTGGTCTAGAAGATTTTTTTTAGCTTCACACAACTCATCATTAAATTATTGGGCATTACACGCATCAACCTTTACACTCAAATCTGCATCCAAGTTATGCACACCCATGCCAAAATTATCAATTTTATGTGCAAGTTCAACTCTCTCCTTCGAACAATCATTCACCAATGTTGTTAGAAGACAACGTTGTTTCGCATATTCCCTTAATCGATAATATTCGTCACAATACCAACCCTTACTTCCATATTCGAATTTAGACTTCCAAGAGGTCAGGTCATGACAAGCCCAAAATTACGGGCCATAAAAGTCTTCCACCAACCAAGCGTGTTTATCATAATAACCTTACCTCCGTATATTTCATCCCCAGATGTCATGATGCAAGAACTAGAAACACACTACGAGAAAATATCAAATATTTATAAAAATAAAAATATATACAAAAAATGGATAAAATTAAAAGTCTAATCTAGAAAAACAGCTAATTTCTAAGTCCCCGGCAACGGCACCAAAAATTTATTCCGGCCAAACAAGCAAGTATACGCGGTCATCAAGTATTAAAGAGACTAAAAGTCAGATGTTGAACCCACGAGGACTTATAATTAACTATTAATTAAATTAGACTATCCTAATTATCTAAATAAGAATTAAACCTAGAAGTATATGACTCTAATCTAATTAAAATAAAATAAAAAAGAAAACAAATAATGAATTCTGAACCAAGGAAGAGTAGATTTTATGTTATCAATGTTATGAAAACGATCTAGGGTTATGGGCTATCTAACATTCCTATTGTATTCTTCAATTAAATTAACTAACTAATTTATCTAGCTTATTGGTTGACAGAGTTAATATTGCTCATAAGAATCTATCGAGTTCTTACTCGCCTATTAAGCTAACCTAACGCCTATATGTCTATGGAGTTAGAACTAGCAAGAACGCATTTGTAATTCCTGTAAATCAACCAAGCAAGGCAATTAGGTATATGTCTATCGTAATGGCGAATCCGTTTCTCGATGCCTAGGTTCAAGAACTTGCTCTACTCAATCCTATGTGCAATCTAGAATTCCCACTTTCAAGGTCAATTCTAGATTCGTAGATAGTATTCAATTGGTGATCAAGCAATTAAATAATTAAGCGCAAGATTGAATAAAATAAACCAATGCGATAAAATAAGAAATCAAAATCAATATTTGAATAATCATAGTCATGAAAGAACCATAACCCTAGAACGTGAAACTTAGCTCCACATAAACATGGTAGCAAAGTAACAAATTATACAAAGAAATATAAAAATTACTATGTTTGGTGGAAGAAAAGATGAAACCCAGCCTCCACATCGGCTTTGTGCTCTCCCTTAGTTAAAAGGTCCTCTAAAAAAATGTGGTCCCCTCCTCCAAAATAGGTTTCGGACCCCTTTATACGAGTTGGGACCGTAATGAAACTCTGTCCAAAAACTGGACACAATTAATTAAAGGACTATAAGTTGTAGTTGGATTGGTGTTTTTTGTAGCACAAGGCATCAAAGAGTAGTTGTCACACTAAACCTCAAGAGCCTAAGATTAAGAGGGTCATCCCAAAAGAAACTCTCATTCCTTAGTTTCTTGGAAATTTATTAGCAATAACACTTTTGTTGGTGAACTCCCAAGGCTTGAACTGCTTGATCTTTTCAGAAATTGCATCTATATGAACATGTTCCGCTGTCTATCATCGATATCTCCTCTTTAAAGATCATTGATGATTTGGCTTTGAAAGATCTCACGCCAAATGACATTTGCAGTAATCTGCCAATGTTTGAAAAATTTATTCATGGACAACGCAGTGGGTGAACTTCCGAGTGGTTTAGATAAATGCACCCAACTTACATATTTGTCTTCGTCTTATAACAGATTCACAGGTAACAAACCTAGCTGTATTTTGATATAGCAAAATTTACCAAAAGACAACTGGAACATATCAAAGGTTGAATATATGTTTCTTGGATGGAATGAATTGAAAGGTATGCAATTGAATATTTGTCCTTGATAATATACAGATTTGACTTCTCCAGTTTAAAACTTCTGGAATATTTTAGTTTGAATCTTTAGATTCTAGCTGGTACATAGTCATTAAACTTTTTGCGTACCAATACGGAGTGATTAACGTCAATTAACTTTTCTTTTTCTCACTTAGCAGCACCTCTATATATATCTGAATCCAATAGAAAAGAAACTGTCAACTAACAACCTTGCTGGGATCCCATTCTCCAAATACATTCTTGCATGCCTAGAGCGTTGAAAGTGGTTTCGGTTACTCACTACGTTAATATTTTGAATTTACTTCAGTCTTGCCAACCATTAGCCTTTAGTCAATTTCTTAGGCCAAGCCAAGAGATACAAGGAGGAAAAAAAAAACAAATGAATTTCCTTGTTCTTACGATTGAAGAATTAATATTCAATTACTACTTAATTTGACTCTTTAAGCCCTCTTTCTGAAGGAAAAAAAAGCTTTAGGGAAATTGCTGCTTCATAAGACTTTTCTAAGTCAAACAGAGAGAAGACTATAACGACCACCACATTTTATAAGATTCTTGTGTTAAAATAAACTGTAGTATAGGATATTGACACTGATATCCATCTATTTTAGTATCATTTTTGCTGACAAAATACAAAATCACACATGGTCAATACGCGTATTGCATGTATACATTTTTTTTATGGGGTAATTAGGTATTTTATTAATCGCCCAGTATATTTTTAAAAACCTAGCTCAGACCAAACACAGTCTGCTATTCTTAAAGAAAAACGAAAATCACTGTAACAAGTAAACATCTACAACATCTGCAGTATTCTATCTCACAGAAATCATATGAACTTGTAGCCTAGAATTTCAGCCCTTGTAATATGGTCCTGCTGCTCTCACGCAAAGCAATTTCTTTGCATATTGTTGATCTGTCTCTCTTTCTTCTCAAAGATTCTAGCGCTTCGTTCAGTCCACAAAGCTTGGATATATTCTGCGTAGGCCATTTTGAGTATTTGATTCAAATTATTCCCGGGTGAGTGTTGTATCTGAATCCATTGCATCAACTTAATTACCCCATAAACTCTCAGCAAATAAGTGATTCCTTGTCTGTTTTACACATTGAGCATATTGGATCAACTGCTATCCCCCACTTCTCTAATCTATCCACTATGAATAACCTTCCGAGCACCTATGACCACATAGAGAATAATTAAAATTGCCCTTGGTCGAGCAGAATTATGATACATCAGACACTTGAAGTGCATTTTAGGTAGATCACCAATCATCCTTTGATAAATATGCCTTATCATGCTCTTATTCTTGCCCTCTTGCCCCCCAAAGCCCCCCTAGTGTCTGAATATGGTTGAGTACCTTTCTTACTACGTACCCAGCTAGTTTATTTCCTGCAGCTTGTCTTTTTTGCTTGCCAAGTCCCAGCATGCCTTAATTTGCTACTGCAACTCTATTCCATAACTGAAACCACCAGCTGCTTTTCGTAGACACACTTAACTTATCCCAAGCCACCGGGGTGATAGTATTACTCTCAGACCGCACATAACATAACTTATACAATATGCTTCTGTTACATCCATCACCTAGGAATAATGAACAGTTGTGTTGTGCCCAATGGGACTGCCTGTATACCAAAAATTACAGTTGAGTCCTACCCGCACAAGAAAGCTTTTTTTGCAGTCCATGAAGATATCTTTGTCACTATCTTTTCAATGAGAGGCTGCCACTGCGCCAGGTTCAGTTTCTTGGAATCCCCAGGTATTTAAAATCTCTCCTTGTACATATCACACAGTCTGCAATATTTTCCTTCCCTCATCATTATACATACCTCCAAAATACACACAATTTTTAGCCAATTTTGCTTCTAAACCACAAGCAGCTGAGAATCTACCAGATCTGTCATGTAGCAAGTGCATACATTTAATGTCTCCTTTGGCAAAGAGTAGAAGATCATCTGCAAAACTTAGGTGAGCGTGATGCCTAATTTTGGATGAAATTTAAACTCTTTTTCATCTTTCAGTCCATTTAAGCCCTCACTCAAATACTCCATAACAATTGCAAAAAGAAATCTCCCTGCCTTAGTCACCTTGCAGCATCTAAAGACTTAGTAGGTTCCCCATTCACCTTAGGAAATTCCAACCATTATCCCATTACTTGCTCTACGTATCTCCACTCCCCTGCCCGTACATTTTCTCGTAATAACTAAACAATACTAATATAGTTTGGTCTAGTTTCTTTATACTACAAAATAAGAATTTGGCTCTTAAGTGTCCAACTCCAAAAATCTGATATAAATTTCGAGGAAACATTCCAAGTGAAGTTCACAATCTGCCAGCAATTCAAAAGATAAAAAACGTTTTGGTGGATAATTCCACCTTCTATATATGGGGAGTTTATCGAATTTGGTGATGATGGATATTGGTGCCAATAATCTTAATGGAAAAATTCATATAGAATTTGGAAATCTTGTTAATCTGAAAGAAATATATCTTGGTTCAAACAAGCAAATTCCTACTACAGGAAAATAGGTCTTTAGCGATGGGAAATTCGGTCGTTAAAACTCCAAATCCGGTCGTTATCAGTCAATTACGATGGGATAAAAACCGGTCGTCGTCGGTCGTTAGTGCCTCCGACGTTAAAGATAAACGACCGAATTTTGATCCCTTCGTAAAAACTCTTTTAACGATGGCAAGGAATCCAGTCGTTATACCAAGATTAGCGAGGGGATTTTCCTATCGTTATATGTCGTCCCAGTCATTAAAACCTTCGCTAACGATAACTAATTTTCAGTCGTTGTTAGTGTATGGCGACCGGAATTCCATTCGTTAATTGTATGTACTTTTAACGACATACTTTTCTAAAAACCAAAATTTTCCTTTCCAAATGTGAACTTTTAAGTAATAAATATATTACACGCATTCGAAATCATACAAAGAATGATGTCAATATTGACATAAAACATCTTTTTTAATTATAGATAGAGAACTAATCAAAGTAGCACTAATATTACATCCAAATTGCATGATCCATGTTTTCAATTCCTTAAAGAAAACAAAAAATTAAAGAGAAAGTAAAATAGTAGTTTGTACGGATGACGACTACAACTCCTAATAAAACATAATAGATTTTCCTTGTTCTTCAACAATTCTAGCTGCTTCAACTTGCTCGGAACTATCTTTATGGAAAATTCTTCAAACTTCAGGCCCTTTATCTGATCTGTTAAAAAAGGTTCATATTAGTTGAGTAAGAAAACAAGATTTAAGATTGATAAGTTGCTACAACACAGTAAAATGTAAAACCACGAAGCGAAGAGCATCTCAAAATACTATGAACAATCAGTGCTTCTTACAACTACATTACTAAATCCACCTTTTTTACAATTATATTTTCTATCAATCAGTATGCATATGTAACGAGAATGAGCATTCACCCTCTAAACTGAAGTCTTCTCTTTCCTGTATCTATGAATGTCTGCAAAGTAGGCCAAGAGACACATATAAATTGTAGTATGAGCTGCCAGCAGCAGCCTGTATACAGGTACCATTTCTGCAGTTCAATAAACTAGCAGACAACAGACAACTGAAGATCCTTTAAAACTCTCCTTTTGATTCAATGACAGAAGTGGATCCCAACCAGAATCACTAAAAGGGTCAACATTGGGCATTGAAGTAGGGCAATTAAAGGAAGTATCACCATCATTTCATGTTGCATTGGTATTTATTCCACTTTGTATCCATCATTTCGTGTGCACCTTCAAAAAGGCAACACCATTGCAACGGAGATTAAGAAATCTTCATTGCAGAGATTCTGATGCATTTAAGTGAGGCTGCTTCATCTTCTTAATTACTTGAAGTAACTACATGCACTTCTCAAAGTGTCTCCTAGTCCATACATGTTTCCTTCACCCAAATCCTGAACTTCTATGATATTAGTGTTTCGTGCCCTTTTTATGACCTTTATTGAGCTGCATTCCTTCCATTCTTTAGTGCATCAATACCTGCAACTAGTTTAAATTCCTACTGGATCAAACCAGTTACGTGGTATAGATTTGACAGAAAATTGTGGTTGAGCCGCATCCATATCTTGTGCATGTTTTTCCACTCTATTTAGTGTAGTAGTAATGATTACTTCTGATTTATCAAAGAACACTTAGTGAACAATATGAAGGGCAGAAGGGGTCTGGCAAATGAAGAAAAATAGGGCTTCTGTAAATAAAGGTAGAAAAAAATTGCACAGTAAGTACTGATCAAAATATAACAAAAGAAGAGAGCATTTTTATACTTCCTTCCATTTCCAATGAGTTGTCATGTTGGGGTATTGTTCTTTTTGGAAGTTTCTTTCATGCAATTAGAAGAAAATGGAGTCCTCTTTTCATGACAACAGTTTTGTTCCCCCCTCTAACCCAATAAAATGACTCCTGAATATTAAGCTTTATCAGATTGTACCAGTTCTTGTATCACAGTATGGGGAGAGTTACACTATCATTTAATGAACTCAATTTGGACGGTTAGTTCAGTGTCTGTTGTTCTGCTTGGCTAAGCATCACCACTGAACAATGTTGGGCAGAAAACTTGCTATACAGTCTTTGGCAATACAATTCAAGCACATTGGATACAAAGTGGAATAAATACCAATGCAACATGCTATTACACCAAACCAATATGGAATACATGCAAAAGTTTCCAGGGGAAGCAGAGAGATGACACACAAAAATGATCGCAAATATAGTGTACCGGTTCGTTGTTGTACAGTAAACTTACTCAACAGTATGTAGGGCAGAACTATTCTTTACTACATATGCAAGAACTACTAGGAGGAAAAATGGAGCAGCAGGAATGGAAAGGCAATAGAAATGACATTAGAATCTCAACGAAGGGAGTTTCATGAGTTTGCTCTTTAAGTCATCTCTGCCTTAAGTAAGATTATTTTTGCACAAAATGTGGTCCAATGAATTTGGTATAATTGCATCTTGTGGGTGCAGCAATTTCTACTGGTTGTTGAGTCTGTCATGAATAGCTTGTAGACCTCGTTTTGAGTTTTGATGACCAATTACATTTCAATTTACACCTTCTGAAGTTCTCTTTTGCATTTTGCAGTCTCTCATTTGTCTGCATTGCATCTAACTGTAACAGCTAATGAGATGTTTTGAGTATCTATGTCACAGTCACTTAGGAGGGAAAGAGTTATACGTACTTTCAAATAAAGTACTGGATAGGACGATCATGCTATAATGTTTTTGGATGACTACTTTAGTCAGGTTGGTGGCTTAACTTTTACTTTCTGTAAAGTATCACTTGATTTCAATAACTTCATACACCCTTCCCTTTCCTCTCCGCAAAGAGCGTTTCATATTTTGCTCCTTGTTTTCTTGTTATTGCCTATTTTCTGGTGTAATTTCTAAGAAAAACTTTAATTTCTAAGTACATTTGCACCCTGCACATCAGTGCCACCCAGATGTTTAACTATTTCATTGTCACTAACCTACACATTGATCAACATTTTGCAAAAAGGATTTGGCTATCTCTGCAAGCAACGGAAAATAGATCTGGACCTCAAATTTCAAATAATGTTATACGTTCAAACAATGAATCTGAGATGCACATATCTAATTAGATTTCAATATCAGAGTAACTGTACATATGTCAAGGTTAGTACTTTATTTAACTAACAACAAAAGACTTCACTAAATTTATTTAAGGATATTCATTAGGTCATAGTTGGTAGAAAGCGTACGAACCTGTTAAATACTAATTTCAGCTTGTACTTTGTTGACTTGAAGATGGTGCTGATGAAGGTTGATCACCCAGTAAGCTGATAATATGTGCATACTTAGAATCTATGTCGTCCATACGTATTTCTAGTGATTCTTTTGCTTTTTTAGTTGCATTCAGCTCAGTCTGTAGTGATTCTTTTTCTTTTCGAACTGCATTCAGCTCAGCCAATATTGCAGCCTTTGAGGAGCTACCGCCTTTCAACTCCTTAGTGGTTATACCACCCCCTAATCCAACCATGTGACTCTTATTTTGAGGTCCGAAGCATCTTTCTACTACCTCAATATTCGTAAGAGATGGCTCAGATTGTACTAGTTCTTGTATCTCACCCTATAAAATACAAGAAAAATTAAAATAATAAAATACATCAAAAAAATGAATGATGTAAAATGAAGTTCATCAATAAGCATACATATTTTTCACCAGCTTCAGGTTCTACAAGCGTGTCATTTTTCTTGTGAGTCTCAAAGAAGATAGTCGCCATGTTTGGTGGATTACCGTCTTTGCTTCCCTTCACATTTAAATAAACAAGTCAAACAAAGACGAGATTTTTTTTATAGTATTGCACTGTGCACTTACCAGTTCGTAAATAATTTCTCTAATCGGCTTGCTACCCGTACGATGAGGCATTCTCAACTTAGACCTATTGATCGAGTTTCTAATACTTGTTTCCTATATTAAGAACAAACCATTGAAATCATGAGATATTACTTACAATAATAAGAAGTTAAAAGTAGTTATGAAGTCTTACCTTAAAATTTTCACTTAAAATATGTTGCTTGACCAACCATTCTCAATCACTCTTGTCTACCTCATCCGGGACATCTTTTAGTGCTTCATGCAATGACTTAAACTTCACATACTTGTGCAATGATCCTCTCCAATTGTTCTGTAACTTTCTCATATGATTTAACACATGATCTCTTTGATGATTCATGTCATCACTGTCAAATTTGTCCTAAATATTTTGCAAAATCATTAATCAAGAAAGTAAAAAATTTCATGTAAACTAAAGATAGTTTTTGCTATTTCAAACAAAATCTGTCTGTTTTCAGTTACATTGCTTAAGACCTAGGATCTTCAGCATTCATAAGTAAAGCATTTTCTAAATTATGTAGAGCTTAGAGACTTCAGAGCAGCAACATGTCTTAGAAACTACACGCCAATAATATATACAAAAAATGACTTATTGTGATCAAACATTCTATAAGAGGCAACAGAAAGTCAACAACCAATAAGCTCTAGTACTTTACAGTGCTATAAACCCAGCTTCCAGTATGCAAATTCTTGGATTTTAAGTAGAAATAACAAATATATGCCAAGTAATCAAATGTAACATTCTCTTCCCTTTTTAGCCTAACCCTCATAAGTCATAACACTATTTGAAGCAGTAACTTATAATCAAATCCCATGCAGAGAATCAAACTAATTCCCCTCCACACCCAAATACCCCGTGCAGAACGGTAATGTAGAAGCAAGTGTCACTGTGCTAGGTACACATTGAGAAACTATAGAGAGCCTTCATGTTAGTCACTTAACAAATGTAATCAAGTAGAAGTTTTGACATTGAATGTGACCTTACAAACTAAGAGATACACAAAAAACTTGCACTAAAGGCTGCAGTTTTACAACAAAACATTACAATATATGTAATAATTCACTAACACCATTATTGTGAGAAGACTATAGAGGTGCTTGCTGTATTACCTGTTACCTACATTCTGGAAAGTCCAAGAAGTTATTACGATTAGTTGTTGCAAAATACTACATATGGTGTCATTAACAAGAAACCAATATTTAAAATTAGGAGTGGAAGTGCTGAACCATTTTTCATGAGATCTGGAACATGTAATTAGGGCAAGGAACACTAAAATCTCCAACAGTTTTGCTTCCTATAGAGTTCTATCTAGAGAATAAGAAACATGCTCCTTGACTAGCACCTTAGATTTTTCCTTCTTATTGATTCCTTAAAACTGGATCATTATAATTTGCCAAAAGGGGAATGAACCTCTGGAAAATGTAATTGGATTAGTACTTGTAGGCAAGACTGGGATCAGGTTAGATTGGATGAGGAGACTGAAGATAGCCCTTGGAGCAACCCGAGGTTTGCAGTATCTTCATGACCTTGTTAATCCCCTATCATACACAGAGACATCAAGTCCAACAACATCTTGCTGGATGAGCACCTAAACACAAAAGTTGCTGATTTTGGTTTGTCCAAGCTTCTAGGTGACTTTGAAAGGGGTCACATTACCACTCAGGTCAAAGGAACAATGGTGAGTAAAGATTCTCTTCATGCCTGCCCAAACTTGTTTGATTTGGAATATTGTATGCTTATATCCTAGCATTTTCTGATGTCCACAAGTTCTGAAATTGTATTGTCTCGATAATTTCTAGTACAGTAGGAACCATTTGGGACTTTCTAAGGGAGAAACATCTGCACTTAGGGGCATCATACCTTTGTGTCAATAAGACATAAGGGGCATCATACCATTGTGTCAATAAAATGCAGCTTAACTCTCACACCAGAAGAATTACTCAACAAGAACAACTACTGCCAGGTGCTGAATGATCAGCTATGACATGGGATTTTGGTGTTCAAAAATGGGATCGATGAGTGCATTCTGGACTAAAATCTCAGTGCACTTCATTACCCCCATATACTAGGAAGGCTACCGAACAAAGTTGGTCTCAGAATTTTGCCCAAAATCATAAGAGATCTGCAGCAAACTATGCAAACTCACTGATGCGCACAACTGCTGGTATAAAGACGTCATATTTTACAGAGCATTTGTGGTGGATCACAAGGTGCTACAGCTGGTACAATGCACTTGCATTAATCATATACAACACAAAGGATATAATGATCGTGGCTTCTTCAGCTCATCACCACAAATCTGGATAATGCAAGATGCAAAAATTGCTTACGCACACACTCAAGGAAGATGCAGATGCAGGTTTGGACATTAATTTGGAAGATTCACTGGATTCATTATGTTCAAAGTTGGGGCAACAATGGTGATACAAAAAGATCTATTTGAGATTTTTTTAAAATTCTAACTAACATCTTAATTAGATAACACTACATAGTCACATAACACACTGTCTAAGTTAGACCTAGAGATTCAAGAAGTGATCCCGACAAGGGATGCAGTGAAACTAATTGAATATAAAATGCAACAGATCATTTGTGGAATTAGCATTGATTAGAACTACTTTAACAAAAATTTCCAGCTAGCATCAGCATATCTAACATAGACCATAAACAAAGTAGGAACGGTAACAAAAATTTTAAGTACTTTCAATTAAAATATTGCTTTATAGTGCTTTAGATTCTTACCGTAACAGCTCGCCACATGTGTTCCAGCTTATCTTTTCTGATGTCCTTCCACGAATGTACTTGCAACGGACAGATATTACAATCACGAACTAATATACCCAAGTGTCTCGAAAATGAGGCTTGATGCTTCCCAACAACCCGATTGTGGTAAAAGTGGACTCTAAATGTTTCTCCAGGTTTGAGTCCCGCAACATCTTTATTCCTATTCTTTCCTCTCACCTTTTTTGGGTTCTCAGATTCACATAGATCTGCAAATTTTAATTTTTAACATAAATTAAATTCCAATCTTATATAAAAAAAAACATTAAACTTGATACCTTGCATCATTTCATCTTCTTGAGCGAGAGAAACATCGTCTTCCATCGGATCGAAACTAGGAGGCATAAGATTATTACTATTATGTGCTAGCTTATTCTGCTCAGAAGCTGCTGAGTTGTGATTTTTACTTTCCCTAACAAGATTTCTCTTTCCAACGCTTCCTTTTACCGAGACCACAGATCTAACGTTTTGCCCGCGTACCCTTGCTAAAGCGCCGGGTTGACTGTAAGTGTCTTGTACATTCTTCGAAGTAGCTATAGTTTCTGCAGATTTTGATTAGAGTAAAGCATAAAAAAACTTCTAATCTTATAACAAACAAAAAAGAATAATTAAAGCTTGAGACCTTGCATCATTTCAGCTTCTTGAGTGAAGGGAATATCTTCTTCCATCATATCAAAACCAGGAGGCATAAGATTATTACTATTATGTGCTAGCTTATTCTGCTTAGAAGCCCCTGAGTTGTAATTTTTAATCTCTCCAAACAGATTTTTTTTGCCAACATTTCCTTTTGTCGAGCCCAAAGATCGAAAGCTTTGCCCTCGTCCCCTTGCTAAAGCACCAGGTTGACTGCAAGTGTCTCGTACATTCTTCGAAGTAGCTCCAACTTTTGCAGATTTTGATTTGAGTAAAGCATAAAATAACTTCCAGTCTTATAACAAACAAAAAAGAATAATTAAAACTTGAGACCTTGCATCATTTCAGCTTCTTGAGTGAAGGGAATATCTTCTTCCATCCTATCAAAACCAGGAGGCATAAGGTTATTACTATTATGTGCTAGCTTATTCTGCTTAGAAGCCCCTGAGTTGTAATTTTTAATCTCTCCAAACAGATTTTTTTTGCCAACATTTACTTTTGCAGAGCCTAAAGATCGAAAGCTTTGCCCTCGTCCCCTTGCTAAAGACGCAGGTTGAATGTATGCAAGATTTACATTCTTCAAAGCTCCTCCTGTTTCTGCAAATTTTGATTTATGTGAAACATAAAACCAATACCGGTTCAATAAGAAACAAAAAAAAAGTTAAAACTTAAGAGACCTTACTTCGCTTCAGCATCTTGAGCAAGGGGAGCATCGTCTTCCATCGAAGCGAAACCAGGGGGCACAAGATTATTAGTATGTGCAAGCTTATTCTGCTCAAAAGCTATTGAGTTGTGATTTTTACTTTCACCAATAAGAGTTCTTTTTCCAATACTTATTTTTACAGATCCCAAAGATCCAAAGTTGTGTCCTCTTCCCCTTGCTAAAACACCAGGTTGAATATATGCATGATGTACATTCTTTGAAGTTGCTCCCATTTCAGACTTTGATGGATTCATGTCAACCTAAAATAAATAAAAGTATGGAGTAACTGTTAGCTGAGAAGAAAAGTCAAAGAAAATAGTAGACCTCTTTTACATACACAGGCACCATTCCAAAATTCCATCTTGTTAAGTTTCCTGATATACCCAAAACAGGCTACTATATGAACCTGAAGTCAAAACCCCAGTTAGTATCCAACCATAAATAGTATCACATATTAAAGTAAAGATAATAACTTTACCTATTGTTTTCCTTTTACACGTGCATAACCATTAGCAGAAAACTAACCACATGCATTCAACATTCAATAAGCAGAGAATTTGAATAGTGCAACAACACATTAGCAACATGTCAAAGTTGCTCCATAGGTTATTTCAACTACAGCAAGCTACTTTTAAGGTAGCTTTTTCACCATACTGCCTTCCAGCGATCTAACTGCATTATTTTCTAAAACAGGACTGGAGTAGAAAGATTTTCAGTTTCACCGAAAATCAACCAATCTCATTATATGGCACAGATTAGCAAAAATCATCAGTACTACATAGAATTAGAGCAAATATCTAACTTTCGTGATTTACTCTCAAGCAGATGAAAATTATGAAAAATCTAACTCTAAAATTTTATTTTGAGACGGGATTAGAACATGCAACACGAAAGCATCCTAATAAAATATAGAAAATTTGAATAGTGCAACAACACATTTGTTCTTACATGTAATTCCTCGAACACAATAATTGCAACACATTAATACCAACTTCAATACCCCCATTTGCTTGTTTTCACTTTCTATCTTCCCTTGCAAGTTGATGAAAGGGCTACTTTACAATTCAATTCACTCAAAGCAGAAGACAGAGCACATCCAGTAGCCAAAATTTATAACAATAAAGCAAAGGGAGAAAACTCAATTGTCACTCACCAGAGAAGGCAAGAAAGGTGGAGCCTCAATGAGTGATGTCTTCTTGTGAAACACCTAGCAATTCTTAGCCTGATATTGGAAATCGTTTTGCTATGAATAAATAGAATTATCAACACAAAAGCTAATAGGAAAAGCTTACCGAGCTTCAGCTGATGAATTTCGACTGTCTATTTGTCATCTAGACCGGATAGAGGCCTAGAGATTCACCCAAATCTGTTGCTTTTTCTATATAATAGAAATTGACATTAGAATGCTATCTGGTTTAGGATTTAAATGAGGTGTATTGATAAAACTACTTCTTTGTTTATTGGGTAAAGGGTAAAGACACGTGTTTTTACAGCCGTTGACATTACATCCTAAGACTAAAGTATGAATTTAATCTGAATTGACAATTCAAAACTACCCATGTTCGTACACCCAAACTCTCATTTCTATTTAAACTGTACGTCTACTATGTTGATGGCATCACACAAATACATTTAAAATACATGTCACTATGACAAAGAAAAAAATGCTCTGGAAACACAAAAAAGACCACTAAAAGTTTCCATAATTTGTTAAAAGAAATTATTTTTATACTCATGAGTTAGCAAAAGATTAAATCTACAGAACTATTTTAAGAAACTTCAACTACATCCTTGAGATATGAGGAGCAGAAAAATTTAAGCTCAAAATAACACATAGGAGAGGGGAAAAGGCAATTTTCACAACGTACAAGGCGAAGAAACTCGGAATGTAGGCTATATCTCGTATGGTCACCAGCTATTTAAGCTAAGCTTATCTTTATGCTATTATCACCCTATGCAGAAGTTCAGTCACTGTACATGAATATAATCCAAGAGGTAAATATGATTGAATAGAAGAAATCTCTCAATTAAATAAACTTGTAAAAGAAATTTGATGGAACCACATTTTCCATCAACTCTTAAGCGAAAAGGAGGCAAATTCTTCCTCTTTTGGCTTGGAAATAGGTCTGGAAGAAGCAAAATCAAAGCAAATGAATCACTGACTTTAAGATGAAGAAAATTATAATAGAATCATGAAGAAAGACCATCGCCTGCAATGGATCCCTTCAAATGAATAACAAGGAGGAATATTTTTCACAGAGAAAGTATATTTCTAAGTGCAATGCATAAGAAATCAAAAGAAATTCAAGCTTGTAGTATTCCAATTCCAAAGGAAAAACAAAAAGGTCGATGGGAGTCTATTATATCATCTGTAATTTTTACAGTATTTTCAGTATCAAGATGTTCCTCAGATTTTCTTAGGTGAGTAATTAAGTCTATAAGAACAAAAAAGGGCTAGTGCGCAAAGCGGCCATTAATACTACACTGGATTATTCGTGTACTCTTACTGTTCTGCAATTTCAAAGGGATAAGGTAGAACAACTTACCAAACAAAGAAAAAAATAATATCAATAACATGTAACTAACAATCATACCCTACATCTTTAGCATGTGGAAGATGGTAACAGTCAGATAGTTACTCGAGTCCATAAATTGGCCCCAGAATGCTCAAAGAAAGATAATACTTTCTTCTAAATGAGTCCTTGCTCAGACGCCCCTAGAGATTTCACTATTGTACCCCAAATAGGAGGAGGACAACAGAATACTCCAGAGAAGATGACTTAGATATATCATCAAACACATGAGTGCAAAGTCCACTTCAAAATTACAATTACTTTTGATACCTTAAGAAAAAATTCATCAAAGTGACAATGAGTGTGTAAATCGGGTGCAATTATTAATGTAAATCAGGTACAATTACTATCATGTAACAAAATTTAGCTAAAACTATATTCAAAATAACTATTGATAGCAATAAAGCAAGACCATGGAAACGCAAGCAATGCTCACCGGAGTTGTCCAGAATCTTGGAGGTGCGACCTAAAGCTTTAGACCAATTTCTGAAAAACAACATGCAACAAAATCCTTTTCATTTCAGAGAGAAAAGTAACAGAGAAGATATGAATATGTAGGTGAGATAGAGGAAGGCAAAGAAACAGAAACCATAAAGTTAGAATGAAGACATGTCTCTACAGCAATAAGATTCTTCAGAGAATTAACATTAAAATTGTTGGTACAGAATACACACAGAATAAAGCTCTCCATTATGCAGTCAACAAGTCAGCGAAAGATCAAAATCCTAAGGAAAACTTTCAGAAAGGGCACATAAACAACACTCACATTACAAGCCAAATATTGAAAATGCATACCAAGTAACAGTGATGCATAAAAACTAAATCAGAAAACTTCTTTTCTCAAGTTATTAGCCAAATTTTGACATACTGTAAACGAGTTATGCCTAGAAAAGCAAGAAGCAAGAGGCCGGATGAAATAAATATTAATAGCAACCACTATAAAGATTAAAAACCTTCATGAGTTCTTTTCCTTCATTTGTGTAGAATTCTCTAAATTCTCCAAATCATCATCCTTTTCTTGCAAAATGTCAAAAGTATCATGAGGCAAAACTTTTCTTACAACATGCCAGCCTTTATTTGAAGGATCATCGACATAAAATACTTGTAATTCTTGGTTTGCTAATACAAATGGCTCATTAGTTTTCAATAATCGCTGAGGATTAACACTCACAAAGCCATATTCATCCATTTTAACTCCCTTTTCTTGGTCATACACATCAAACCACATACATCTAAACAAGATCACTGTTTTTCCTCCCATAAATTGCAATTCAAGAATCTCAGTGAGTTCTCCATAATAATCAATATTTTTATTCTCTTCATCTGTCTCACCAACTACAATCACCCCGCAATTTTGAGTTCTCAAACCCTTGTCATAGTCTTCCACATGAAACCTATATCCATTAATAATGTAACCTTTGAGATGTTTCACATATAGCAGGGGACCACGTGACAAAGTGAGCAAATCTTCCATTTTCTTACTGTTATCACATTTGTACAATTCGACAACCTATCAAAATCAATTATATAATTTAATTAGCAAATACTATATAAAAAATTATGTTTTAAAAAATAGCAATAGTGTATAACTAGTACTAACCTTTTTCTTTTAACCAACTAATGAACTCCCTATCTGAATGTTTTTGAGAGGTATCACCTGGAATTTCTGAAAACTCTCTACAAAAAATTACAAAATAAAATGTCATTTTAATTGAAATCATGGATAAAGTATATGTGAATTATTATGTCGTATCAATACTTACTCGAGAAATGGTTGAATTTCATCACAGTTCTTCAAAATATAAATATGTGCTTTCTCTAATTCATGTGGATTAAGTTTGTCCAATTTTCCATCTCTTAATTCTTTTCCAGGTTGAGAAAAAATTGTTAAACCTCCATCAGATTCAATAACACCACCATCATAATTCCGCTCAAGGAGATTAAACTTTGTTTCCATTGTATGCAAGTACCTTGAGCATAGAGTCAAACATTCAGTTGCCAAATATCCCTCCGCGATAGAACCTTCTGGGCAAGCACTATTTCCAACTAAAGATTTCAAAAAGTATAGCCATTTCTCCACTGGATACATCCATCGATATTGAATAGGTCCAGCAATCATAGCTTCATTAGCTAAATGAATCGGCAAGTGCACCATTACATCAAAAAATGAAGGAGGGAATACATTTTCTAACTTGCACAGAGTTATAGGAATTTGAGCTGCTATCTGTTCTAAGTCATCTATTCTTAAACATTTTGCTCCAAGCAAGTTGAAAAATAAAGATAACTCAATAAGAGGTTCACATATAGATTTGCAAAGCATACCACGTATAGCAAGTGGAAGTAAATATTGTAGAAGACCATGGCAATCATGACTTTTTAGGCCTGAAATTTTGCGATCTTTAGTGTTGACACACTGAGATATATTTGATAAATATCCATCTGGGACCGTTAAGTTCTTTAGGAATCTGAGAAATTTGTTTTTCTCTTCCAGAGATAACGTGTAACATGCTGTTGGTAGCTCATATTTATCCCCACTTTTAATTGGATGCAATTCTTTCCTTATGTTCATTGCTTGCAAATCCAATCGAGCTTTTATGGTATCTTTGGTTTTTCCTTTGACATTTAAGATTGTCCCCAAAATATTGTCACATACATTTTTCTCAATATGCATCACATCTAAATTATGTCGCAACAATAGAGTTTTCCAATAGGGAAGATCAAAGAAAATACTCTTCTTATTCCAATTATCACTCCTACTCTCATGTGATATTTTAATCTTTTTCTTTGGATCCTTTGTTAGTGGTAAACTATCTAAATCAGCCACTTGATCAAGTATATCCTCACCGGATAAAATTTCGGGTGGTAGTCTTCGCTCCTTAGTGCCATCAAATGACTCTTTATCATTCCTCCATTTGTGATTAAGAGGAAGAAAGAGCCTATGACCCATATAATACTGCTTTTTACCATTTTCTAACCTAATTGAGGATGTTTCTTTATTGCAACATGGGCAAGCCAATTTTCCTTTTGTACTCCATCCAGATAAGTTTGCATAAGCCGGAAAGTCATTAATGGTCCATAATAAAGTTGCGTACAACATAAAGTTATGTTTAGTTGACGCATCAAAGGTCTCCACTCCAGTTTCCCATAATTCCTTTAATTCATCCATCAAAGGCTGAAGAAAAACATCAATTGCGTCTCCTAGACTTTCAGGACCAGGAATAAGCATCGACAAAATAAAATTCTCTTGCTTCATACATAGCCAAGGTGGTAAATTATAAGGAATAAGTACAACAGGACAAATGCTATACGGAGTTCTAGAACTTCCAAATGGTTGAAAACCACACTAGCAAGTCCAAGTCGAACATTACGAGGTTCATCGGCGAAAGATTGGTGAAGTTCATCAAACTTTTTCCATGCCATTGAGTCAGCTGGGTGCCTCATTATTCCATCGTCAACTCTTTTGTCATGATGCCATGTCATTAAGGATGATATCTTTGAGGACATAAACAACCTTTGGAGTCTTGGCTTTAAGGGGAAATAACGTAAAATCTTGTGCGCTATCTTTTTCCCACTCTTAAATTTAGTTTCTCCACTATGTTTATCCTCTTTCCATCTAGATGCTCCACAAATTTTGCAAGATTCAAGAAACTTGTCATCCTTCCAATATAACATACAATTATTCTTACAAGCATCAATCTTCCTATAAGAAAGTCCAAGATCCCGAATTATCTTCTTTGCCTCGTAATATGAATCTGGTAAGTTTGATTCGTCAGGTAATAGATCTTCCTTCAACATCTTCAATAACATTGTAAATGACTCATGACTCCAACGCCCAATACTTTTGATATGAAGCAATTTAACCATAGTAGAAAGTTTAGAAACTTTTGAATTTTGGTACAATGGTTGCTCAAAATCCTTTAAAAGCCTATAGAATTTTTTTGCTTCAAGATTTGGTTTCATCTCAAAAAAATCATCACCATCAGTGTTCGTATTGTCTACATCAAAATCAGGGTATAAATCTCTTAGGATCCCATGTATTTCATCCTCACCATCAGCTTCTTCAATGTCATCATCTTCTACATCTTCTGGAGTTGATTGTGGCTCACCTAACTTTTCCTCGTGGTGATACCAAAAGGTATAATTTTGAATGATTCCATGTACTATTAAATGTGACTTAACCATCTCACGTGTTCCCGAAAATGTGTTACAACATTTGATACATGGACAGCGTATTACACGCGCTTCACTTAATCTTGTAAAAGCAAAATCCAAAAAGCTCTCCACCCCAAGCTTGTAAGCATTACCAAGTCGGTCATGGACAAGTTCCATCCATTTCTTATCAGGTGCCATAATCTGGTGCATGTGTAATATATATGTATATATGATTAAAGAACTTATGGATCATCAATAACTCCTATATTACGTGAAAACTTATCAAAGAATTATATTATATTTAAAACAAAAAAGCTCTTAGTAAAACATTATTTATTTTTTTACCATTTAAAATTTATTTTACACTAGACATGATTATAATATAATTAATTTTTTAATAATGAGACAACCCACAAACATAATATTTTAAAATATTAAAAATAATTTATATAGTATTTTGTATTAGTTAAAGAACAAGAACAAGAACAAGTTGCATTTGCTCGCCAGAAGGGAAAAAAAAGAATCTTGTGAGTTAGCTGACATGTTGTGTCTTCTAGAATGAACTTATGAATACATTTGAACATATAACTCAAGAATTTTTTTCGAAAAAGCTCTTAAATCTTCAAAGGCTATGTGTTCTAACTAAAACTAAAAAGGAAGCATGATAGTTTGTAATGTCTAAGCAATAAAATGATTAAACTGAGATAAATTTCAAGTTGAATATATTAACCGAGATAACTGATTACCTTTTGTGAGGTAAAGTTTCTTTCTTTATTGAGTTAGTTAAATAGGATCATTGTAATTTTCAGGAGTTTACATTTTCTCCTTAACTTTTATTTCTTAGTCAAACACAATTTTCATATAATATTTATCTACTTTTTCAAATAATTTGTTTTCATTTAGATAGGATTCACGCGCAACGCACGTATCCTAAAACTAGTTATACTAAAAGTATGAAGCTCCTAACGTCAAACTTGATTTACCAAAATGCCCATAAAAATTTGAATACCCATTTTATCCTCAATCAAAAACATTGTATACTTTATAACGAAATGCTACCATAATAAATTTATAAGCTACTAAACTTCTTTTCATGTGCAACGTATATGAGCATTGAAAATAAAAATAGTAACAGAACTGCGTGGGTAACATTGATTCAAGCAATCTTGAAGGATATATAGTTACTACTTATTTATTGTGATTAGTGATGGTAAGTCATATAAAAAGTAATTTTAAACTCTATATAGTAAGGAAATAAATATATTGACAGGCTCAGAGTCTCTTCTCCTCCTCCATTCTTAGAATTACTACGTTCAATGATGACAATCTCATATTTTACAAGTTATCTGAATGTTGGATTGGTCTATATGGAGTGAAGAAAAGCAAGTATTAGTGAAAGAGACACTACTTGGGAGCAATATGCGCTATGATTTTGGCGTTGATTCATGGCTCATGAAAATGGATCAAACAACAATTCAGAGCATGCAGAGGCTAATCACTAATGATGAGCCACTTTCAATAGGTAAAACTAAAGTATGTTCAGAGGTCAACTGATGAAAAGTAAGTTCTGATCTAGTGTAGTCTAGAATAGAAAAGAATAAAGTTAATGGTTGATATGCTTCGTGAGGAATCTGGATTGTTATTTGCATAACTAAAGGCACCATCTAGCTTTAAGTTTTATCCAGTTACATGTTCTTCTAGATTCTGGCCAGCTTCCATGTGCTATGTTTGTTATCTTTTATCAAACTCTATTGCTTTTACTAGTAAGAAGCCTTATTTTTTCACTAAAATTTCCAGGGATACTGAGAAAAAGAAGAAAAAGAAAAAGAACAAGAAAAATCAACATGATGGAAAAGCATCTACAGAGGTTGAACAAAATAAAAAGAATGAATCACACGAGGTGGAGGAAAATGAAGCGACTAAGTCTTCTCAATTGAGGACCTATGGAAATGGATTGGTCATAGAGGAGTTGGAAATAGGCAAGCCGGATGGGAAAAGAACTTTCCCAGGAAGTTAGGTATAGTTTTCTTTTTTTGATTCTATGTGATAAATTGTTCTCTCACTCTGCCATGGAAAGTAATGAAATCTTGGTAGTCACAATTAAGTCAATCAGGATTTAAGTTTCTCAATCTTTGAGTTCTCTTTGATGAACTTGTACGGAGCACACTTATTATTAATAATGATTTTCTTCCACTAAATAGGTTGGTGTACGCTATATAGGCAAGTTGAAGAAGAATGGCAAAATATTCGATTCCAACATTGGGCAAAGAACACCTTCTGAAACAAATATGATTTTACTCTTTTTTTCATACAGGCAATGCAGAGCCACATGTAATCAAATAATTCAATTGAATTCGCTACGCCGAAAAATTATAATGTGCAAATAGGAGACAATTTTTTTGTACATATATAAAAGTTTGTATTATGTGTAAATTCTGAATCCCCTTATAAAAATTACTAGCTGCAACGCATATAGGACCTCTCTCGCAAACTATAACATATTAAGAATCCGAAAATTTTACCTATCGTGCATTATAATAAGAAGCATAAAATGGAAGAGAAAGTAGAAGATGAGGATAACAACAACTTTGATGGAAAGCAGTTGGTTCTGTGCATTGAAAAATTGCAAGAAATATACTGAAAACAGAACAATTATCATATAAATCTGGAAGGCGTCGACTTGAAAAGTAGAGAGATAACAAAAAGCCCAATTTCACAATAATTACAACTACAAATTTAGTGACTTGAGTTTACCTTGACGAGAAAGCACAACAAGAAGACCAAATCGTATAAGCTGCGTTGACAGAACCCACAATCAAGTATAAGTACAGCAAATAACAGAACCCAGCTATTAGCGTTGACACCCAGCTATTAGCGTTGACACTCAGCTATTAGCACACAAATTATAAGTTGCGTACAGCAAGAAGACCAAATCGTTTTGTGATTTTTCGTTGAGTTTTGCTCTATATATATATAGTGTAAGCTAGAACTCGCCAATGGAGTAGCGGGCAGTTGCAGTGAGGGCCTATTTGTTCGTGATTCTTTGCATCCACTTTGCTGAATCTGGTGTACGTGTTTTGGGATAACATTGGATTGAGAGATTTTAGGGTTTTTTTGATTAATTTGGGGGATATGGGCGGAGTTGTTGAGGAAAAAAAGGAGGGAATAATTACCGCATAAATTTTCATTTTATTCAGATTTATAACGAGGGGATTGACATAATTTGAAAGACCGGGAAATTATTCCCTTGTAAAAAATACAGTAAAAATGACTTTAACGACCGGAATAAATATTGGCCGCTATAAGCATACATATAACGACTGGATTAATTTCCTTTCGTAAAGAAGTGGTCGTTAAAGACCTCTTTTCCTGTAGTAGCTAGCTCTTTCTACTACATTTCCGGCTTGGAAATAATTGCAGTTATAGCTAATGAGCTTTCTGGAACTCTACCTTCTAACATTGCACATAACATTCCAAATCTTAATGGCCTATACCTTTGGGCTGAAGCAGTTCAGTGGGACAATTCCTAGTTCTATTTCTAATGTCTCCAAGATCACTATCCTTGATTCGGGTCGCAATTTGCTTATTGGGGATGTACCGATGAATCTTGAAAATTTACAACAACTTGAAGTGATCAACTTGCAATAAAATCAATTTACGATTGATCCTTCCACATGGGATTTAGGTTTCCTTACTTCCCTGTCGAACTGCAAGCACGCGTACTTGAGGGATTCACAAATAGGACAAAATTATTATAGCATTTAGTAGCCGGTCCATGTAAGCATAAACTTAATTTACACCAGGATCTTGAACATGATAATCTTATACAAAATTGTTACCGAAAACATACATGAAGCGGAATCCATTATCTTGAAGCGGAAGCGTTAATCGGTAATCGGTTTCTCGCCCATTGCCTTAACTTTACGTTACTGCCGACTTTAGTGATGGAAGAGAGAATAAAAATACGGTAATCCTAATGGGTGGGGAGAGGACCAATTTATAGAGGTTCTCACTTAATCCGGTACGTCCATCAAGTAACCAATCGCACGGATGAGATTTGATAATTAATTAAATATTAATTATGAGTTTTAAACCTATTGGGCCACACACACATAGGAAAAATAACTTACATTCTCCCACTTGGCCCAATAATCACATAATATTAATATTTAATATAGGAACATTAGTTGCGCATAAACAAATCTCTTCTATAATGTCCATCATAAATACCATAATACGATAAACTAGTGAATGTGAGTTATGGCGGTTATATATAATTTGTCTACATACTCCCTTCCATATACTACAACATTAGTAATTTATCGTATCAGATTCATAAGCTATAAAATATTATGGTCCACAATAATGTCTCATTGAGACTTATCCTGTAACATCTCAAAACAATAATGTGTACACCATTATGAGAAACAGGAAATCACTAATGTATATCAGAAACATATAAATGAGCTCAGAGTGTCAAAACATCATAAATACATTAATCAAAAATACAACCAAGACTCATTCAATGTACATGTTCTTTAAATATCTGTGGTTGTAAACCTTTTGTTAACGGATCTGCAATCATGAGATCTGTTCTAATATTCTCAAGTGACACTCTTTGTTTCTGAACTTCTTCCTTGACGGTAAAGTATTTTAATTCCATATGCTTGGCACCTTTGGAGTACTTATCGTTCTTAGAGAAGAATACTCTGCAAAATTATCACAGTAAATTTTCAGCGGCTTGGTAATGGTGTCGACAACCCCAAGTCCTAAAATAAAGTTTTACAGCCATAATGCATGAATTGTGGCTTCAAAACATGCCACAAATTCTGTTTCCATCGCAGATGTAGCAATAACAGACTGTTTGGCACTCTTCCACGATATTGCTTGTCACACCTCCTTCTTGCGCGCCCGGCCCCGATGGGTTAAATGCGCGAGGGAGTTTTTCCAATTTAAGTGACAATATTCGAAATGGGATTATTATTTAATTCAGAGT